AACGGCTCCAAACTCACAACAAGTAACAGAATATAAGGTAAGTTAAAAATAGTAAAGCTTTACCTACCTCGATTTATTTTTCTAAGGCGCTCAATTAGGTGAATTTTCGGCAAATAATCAATATTTCTTTGCGTTTCCTCGACGAAAACCCGGCACAAAAATGCTCGTCGGAAAAACTCGGTATTAGTCGTCTTTTAACGAATCTGCCACGTGACTGGTACGCTCATCACCGCTCACCGCCGCTCATGCACCGCGACACGAAATTTAGAGGTATATGAAAGTTACTTCTGTGAAGCTATCCGGATATTCATCCTAAGATTCATCCTAGGATTCATCCCCATATTCATCTCAACATTCATTCCAATATTCAAATTTAAAAAAATTAATTTAGCAGGAAATTAAGACATTTACTGTAAAAATAATGCGTTGAGAACAATGTCTACAATTCACAATGTATTAAATTGTAATATTAGTGTTTCTGAATACTTTAAAATTTCAAATTACCTTCGGTTTCATTTTTCACAAATTCACAACAAATTTCTATTATAATAATGCACTAATATAAACTTACATTTGAAAAAAAAACCACAAAATGTACACCCTTCTTGTACTTGCCAACTATCAGCCCTGGCACAAACGTCTTTATGCAAATTTGAGATTTTCACCACATTCATTCGCACTTTAAATCTCCATATTCGCAAACCTTTCCAATTGTTCACCCACTTCACATTTCATTTTGAATACGAACCATTATGCAGTTCGTAGTCAAGATTTTAGAACTGGCATAAATTTACAAACTGGCATAAAATATGCCAGAGAAACAACTAATTTTAAGTGGCAAAGACACAACTTAATTAATATTCTAATTTATATCGAGAACAAACTAATTTGGAAAATGGCTTTTCTACCTTTTCTGCAATTGTGCCAATATTGTTTTTTCTACGTAATGGTTGTATTTTATACATATATTTTGACCATGTAACTCTCGAAACTGGCACAATAAAAGAGTATTTAGAAAACTAACATTCCACGATTTGTTTTATCCGGTAAAATTGCTGACTCAGCTATCCCAACATTCGATTTTTCCGCAATTTTCTCAACGACAAAGCTTGTACCAAAGTTCTCATTGTTACAGAATAATAGTATTTTTAACGTAGAGTTTAGATATAAAACTTTTGAAACTGGCACAAAAGATGGCTCTGCGGGATTTAATATTAATTGGACTACGAAAAACTAAATTAATATTCTAATTTATATCGAAAACAAACAAATTTCGAAAATGGCTTTTCTACCCTTTCTGCAATTGTGCCAATATTGTTTTTTCTACGGAGTGGTTGTAATTTATACGTAGATTTTAATCATGAAACTCTCGAAACTGGCACAATAAAAGCGCATTTAGAAAACTAACATTTCACGATTTACTTTATCTGGTAAAATTGCTGACTCAGCTATCCCAACATTCGATTTTTCCGCAATTTTCTCAACGACAAAGCTTGTACCAAAGTTCTCATTGCTAGAGATTTATAGTATTTTTGACGTAGATTGTAGATATAAAACTTTTGAAACTGGCACAAAAGATAGCTCTGCGGGATTTAATATTAATTGGACTACGAAAAACTAAATTAATATTCTAATTTATATCGAAAACAAACAAATTTCGAAAATGGCTTTTCTACCCTTTCTGCAATTGTGCCAATATTGTTTTTTCTACGGAGTGGTTGTAATTTATACGTAGATTTTAATCATGAAACTCTCGAAACTGGCACAATAAAAGCGCATTTAGAAAACTAACATTTCACGATTTACTTTATCTGGTAAAATTGCTGACTCAGCTATCCCAACATTCGATTTTTCCGCAATTTTCTCAACGACAAAGCTTGTACCAAAGTTCTCATTGCTAGAGATTTATAGTATTTTTGACGTAGATTGTAGATATAAAACTTTTGAAACTGGCACAAAAGATAGCTCTGCGGGATTTAATATTAATTGGACTACGAAAAACTAAATTAATATTCTAATTTATATCGAAAACAAACAAATTTCGAAAATGGCTTTTCTACCCTTTCTGCAATTGTGACAATATTGTTTTTTCTACGTAATGGTTGTATTTTATACGTATATTTTGACCATGAAACTGTCGAAACTGGCACAACAAAACCTCTTTTAGAAAACTAACATTTTATGTAGCAAAGAAAGAATCTAATTAATATTCTAAATTTTTTGAAAAGAAACTAATTTGAAAATTGTTTTTCTTTCCTTTCTTATATACGGGATTGTTACATTTTTTTACGCAGATTTTAATAATAAAGCTGTGGAAACTTGCAAAACAAAGTCGCATTTAGAAAACTGACATTCCACTATCTGGTGTGTCCCAGTAAAATACATGTAGCTGACTCAGCTTTTGGATACATTCGACCTTACGTCAACTTGTTGGACAACACAGCTTTTAAGTTCTTTGTATGTTTGCATGGTGATAAAATATAATAGTTTTGTTTGTGGAAACACCACGTAAATTTATTACTGCAAAGCTTTCGATCCGTAAGCCCGGATCTTCATCAGTAGCACTGATGAAGATCCGGGCTTACGGATCGAAAGCTTTGCAGTAATAAATTTCCGTGGTGTTTCCACAAACAAAACTATTATAACACAGCTTTTATTATTATTAGTTTATTAAAAATACTATTATTAAAACCTTTTGCAGTATTGGAAACTGAATTACTGGTGATGTCGTAGTAAAACTTAAGAATTTATAAATGTACATATATTACATATAAAATAGAATGATTAACTATTTAATTATACATTTTGCCTTAATTTAGCAGTTATAAAGTTCCAAAATCAGTCTGTTCGATTGATTGTTGGTCTGTCTATTCTTTCTGATCTTAACGAATAAATGTGGTCCGACACAGGGAGCAGCTTGTGAATAAGAGGATATAGCGGATGACTTGGTTTAATATTTGCGATAAATTTCTTACGTACAGGCTGCATCTCTGCGAGGCCTAAGAGTCTTAATACCCGCCAAGGATAAAGGCGGATCTCCACTAGACAATTTTTGAGACAATCGTCAAAATAATTCGCGACGACACATGCGCAATTGAAAAAATGTTGGAAGAGCGATCGTCTAGCGCTCGACAAAAAGTAGGATTGACGTCTACTTTTCGTTGAGTGCCAAACGATCGCCAAATTTTTAACCAATAAGATTCCGCTATTTTATCCTTGCTGCTAGTGCATCTCCACTTCTCTCTACATAATCGTGAATTTTTACGTCAATTGTCGTAAAAATCGTCTCAAATATCGTCTAGTGGAGATCCGCCTTACCTTAAGGCTTCTGCATATGCATGGGATAGATAAATGATTGCCAACGCTCGCTTTTGAACCCAGCTGGTTATCCTGGAATGAATTCAGGAGTACGAGATGAAGAAAACAACCGATGCGTTCTCCTAAATTTGCTGTTGTACAGTTATTACTAGCACTTTATAATAATTACACATAAACGACCCCTTATTCGAAAGAGAAAGAACAATTATTTCGAATAAGGGGTCGTTTATGCGCTATTTAAAACACAAGTAGGAGTGTTTTATCAGATATAAAATGCAAGTCGCAGCCAAACGTTTTAATTGTCTGATAAAACACACAACGAATGTTTCGAATAGCTTAAAATACGACTACAAAAGAATACTAATTAGGATGCACATTATATAATCAGACTAATTAGGATGGACACTTATATAAAGCCATATGCATGCTTCAGATACAAAGTCACTCCACATGACATATTATGGCTGACATGATTTGCCACAAGGTTTATGAATTATTAATGAGTATTTTAAATGTAATTATAAAGTGCTATAGTAATAACTGAATATTTAGGAGAATGCATCGGACTACATATGAGGCTACAATCACTGTTTATAAAGAGTAGTATTTAGAAAATTAAATACCCCCTGTACATTAAAACAAGTTCTTAATTGATTTAGTTTAATATTCATGCATATTTGTTCGAAATGTATGAAATCCATATTCGCTCAGATTTAGTTTATGATTACGATGGTTCCATGTGTGTGTTGTTCGAATAATGAAGGTTCGAATAACAGGTTTCATTGACACAGATAACATCAAGATCGCAGGAGTAAATGAGAAACTGGAAGCACTTATTGTCGTAGATATTTTCACCCTTGGCCTTAGTTTTATTCATTGGTGCAGGTCACCCTCTTTCTGGTATTATGACTGTCTATATCATGTTTTCGTTGGTCACAATTAATTCAAGCACAATGTTTCTGACGATGGCAATGCTATTGCTATATCCAATGTGAATTTATAAAGCGAAACATGATTCTCAATTAAGTTGCATACATTCCTTCAGAGTATTTGGCGCGGTAAATGTAGCGTCATCAGTTATGTTCTGCCAGAGTAAGTGAACGTTCGTCGGTTATTTACTACATTATTTTTGAAATTCACTCAAAAAAATACAGGATATGTTCCCTTAATTGAACAGCGCATTGTGACTACTGGTCCAATTTTTTGCTGGTATGCAGAAGGAATTATACATTCTCTTTAAATCTGTTTACATTCCCCTGAACCGACAATTTAATTTGTGATGCAACAATTTGTGTGCGATTTGAATTCGAGAATCATTTATACTTGTACTTTGAGGTATAGGTTGTATTAATCCCATTCGATATTTTGCATAAGATAATATATACAAACCACAACTGACATAGTCTTCTTGTGTAGGAAAACAATCTTCCCAATAAACAGTGAAATCCGCCACTAAACGTTTTCCATTAAACTTCATCGAGCAAGATCTAAACGAATTTAGTTCTGCAAAATATTGCTTGATTAAATGGACAACTGCACTGTTTTTGATTCCAGGGTGCATAGGGTCATAAAAATATAAAGTTTGATTCCCACAATTTATAAAGATAATGCTCCAATGCTTTCCATTGCCAGTGTTAATGGGGATCACAATACCATCAAAAGCCTAACCTTTCTTAAAATACCTTGATATCATGGTATGGAATTCCTTCTGTCTACGAGGCGAACAAATGCAGCGAAGCTTTGTAATGAATTGGGTATTGAATGCAAAGTATCGTGTGCCATTTTTGGCGCATTCTTTAACTAACAATGTCAGGTATGCATCAACTACTGCATCATTGAGCCATCCTGTATTTGGAACGATATACGACTTGTTAATTAAAGGATATTCTAGAGACTTGAAGTCCTTTCCATATAAATCATAGCCATCTTTTGTCATTGTACATATCTTCGTATCTTTGTTACTTACATCCCATAGGCGGAAAATTTGTTCTTCGTTTGGGGAACTGTTGTTGTTCTCTGGTTGGGCACAGGTTTCACCTTGCTGCTCACATTCATCACAATCATTTTCATTGGTATGCCTGTATTTGGGCGCATCATCCTTCTTTCCGGAATTACCACTATCATCCTTATTGTGTTTTGAATGACGACCGTCGTTTGTTGTTTCTTTTATGACTGAATAGAATGCTACATAAACTGTAGATGCCACAAAGTCCTCCCAGTAAGACGAAACATCTTTGATTACTGTGTCGTTGATTTCCAACACACTGTTTTCATCGAATACAACAGCTGTGTAATGTCCACAGTCGATACGTTGTCCATAATGTAATGCGCATGATGTCAAGTTATAACGTCGATAGTTTTCGCCAGCATTGAGGCTGAAGTGCCTGGGTAGAGATACTGTAGCGTGATTCTTCTCTCTCTGATCTTCATCTATTTGGAATCTTTTAAAGGTCACCACCAAGGTTGTTGGTAATTCTAACAGATAACCATTTCTGAAGTGGTGTGTCTGTTTATTACATACTTCACAGAACATTTCTACAACATCTGTGAGGCTGTCGTGTAAACTATCTACAAGGTTGGTTATATCTTGATCCAAAGGAATAAAAAAAGAGAAAAATTTCTCGGCATGTATATTCTCTCTTTTGTAGCAATTGAGACAGGTTTTATCATACTGATGTAAACCTGAAAAAAGATCGGCAATCTTGCTGTTGTCTGATAGACTTACGGAAGATAAAGAGGTCAAACTCTCATGGATATCGTACTGCCGTCCTTGAACATAACCAAACTCATTAATAAACGATTTGTATAGCTTGCCAGGGTAGTACGGTTGATGATTGTTTCCATTAAGCTTCTTTAGTGTATTTACTAAAGCATCAATAAGTGGATGAATTGTTGGGCTACAAAGGGAGAAAAGAAACTCTTTCATATTTGAAGCATTTAGACATTGCACTAGACAGTTCATCCAGCAATGATTTGCTTTGTTTATCAGCCCTCTGTATTGATTTGAACTGGGATAAGATACATTTCTTTCACCTTTAGATTGTACACTTTGACCATTTTCTCTATTCATTTCATTTAAATGTCCCTTTTTTGATGGATTCTTTATTTTTCCCGGTTGAAATTCTTTAACTTTAGTTCCTTCTTTCTCGGATGTTTCCTTAAATCTGTCTTTATCTCCCTGCGGCAAATGTCGCCATAACTCACCAGCCTCTTTAGCCAGTTCAGGGATTTTCCGACGTTCAGCTGCTCGATGTTTTTTCCCTCTGCTGTGTAAAAAATTGAAAAATGCTGAAGATGGTTTCTTTTTCAAATTATTTTTCTTTTTCACGTCAGGAGTTTTACTTAATGGTATGGTTGGAGATTGTTGAAACTGGCCGATTTTAGGATTTCGTTTAGGCGTGAGTGGGTCCTTCTTTCCCCATGTTTCTTGCACAGTTGAATAATTCTTTTCTGTTTCAGCATCTTCATCTGAGTTGGACAGATCCTTTACTTTAACAGCAGGATTTGTAGCAGGTTTTGAAAACTGTTCACGTCTTTCCTTCGCCTCGAATTTATTTTCTTTCTTCTTATTGCCGTTCACCTTCTGCTTCTTAACATCACGTCTTGTGCTCTCAATTCTTTCGTTGTTTTTTTTACTTAATGACATGGTTGGAGATTGTTGAAACTGGCTGATTTTTGGATTTTGTTTAGGTGTGAGTGCGTCCTTCTTTCCCCATGTTTCTTGCACAGTTGAATAATTCTTTTCTGTTTCAGCATCTTCATCTGAGTTGGACAGATCCTTTACTTTAACAGCAGGATTTGTAGCAGGTTTTGAAAACTGTTCACGTCTTTCCTTCGCCTCGAATTTATTTTTTTTCTTCTTATTGCCGTTCACCTTCTGCTTCTTAACATCGCGTCTTGTGCTCTCAATTCTTTCGTTGTTTTTTTTTACTTAATTGCATGGTTGGAGATTGTTGAAACTGGCTGATTTTTGGATTTCGTTTAGGTGTGAGTGGGTCCTTCTTTCCCCATGTTTCTTGCACCGTTGAATAATTCTTTTCTGTTTCAGCATCTTCATCTGAGTTGGACAGATCCTTTACTTTAACAGCAGGATTTGTAGCAGGTTTTGAAAACTGTTCACGTCTTTCCTTCGCCTCGAATTTGTTTTCTTTCCTCTTATTGCCGTTCACCTTCTGCTTCTTAACATCACGTCTTGTGCTCTCAATTCTTTCGTTGCTTTTTTTACGTTTTTGTCCTCGCTTACTTGCAATTCTATCTCCGTAATCGTTTCCTCTCCTTCTTATCCTTTGGTAATTTTCAAGAACGAAAGCATCAGGTCTTAATCGAGATCTACCAGGAAAATCGTCTTGTTTTAGATTTCTCATTGCAGATTCAATATACCCTTCCGTCTTTGCGTTTACAGATTTAAACGACAAGTAGGGATAATCTTTCAAATCGTCTCTGTCTAAAGCTGATAACGGTCGAGAGAACCTAATAAAACACCTGACCATAGCGGCATCTCGTGTAAATAGGACTTCAAAAAATTGAACAATTCAGGGCAATAGCTTCGGTTTGCATCATGCGTAATCGACTCTTCCTCCATAGAGTCCTCATCAATTTCGAGGTTAGATAACAAAACCTCTTCAATGATATCTTCAAAATGAGCTATAAAAGGGTTTCCATTTGCATTGCCATTCGAAATATCTTCATCACGTTCTGAATGATCTCCAGTCGTTACATCTTGTTGCATTGATTCGAATTCTGGAACATTTTTCTCCATGTTATGGATCATGTCCCACAACCACTTAAATGATATGTGAACAGAGTCAGTTTGATGATCGTTCAATAAACATGTTTCCACGTGTTTAAGAATGGAATCAAACTCTTCCAATGTTCTTTCATTTACCAGTAATGACACACAGTACATGTTAAAACTATACCAGATATCTTGATTTTTGGTTGCATTTGCTCCTTTTTAGCCTTAATTATTCCTTTTAATTTTCGATGCATTATAGCCATGAAATGGCTGCAACCAACGTGTGGTATCATAAACTTGAAATCATTTAATTCGGCTTTCCTCTGTAGTATTTTAAAGGCTCTAGCAAGAAAATCATTGAGAGTTTCTCCGTTAAACTCCTTCAAAGTTGCAAGAATAATAGCTTTCGAGTAATCCGAATTAAGTTGCCTTGGAATTGTTACATTCCCTTTGAATATCAAACCTTCATCTCTTCGAAATCGCTCGAGAAAAGTGCGTATACTATATGCACTTTGATCATTTGTGATCATTTCTGCAACTGGCAGTGTTGGGTTTCCTACTTTAGGATGGCGAACAACAAGAACATAATATAATACTCGTTTGTCGTCATAATCCTTCACGATCGTTCCTGTTGCATCAATATAGGATATGTCCTTGTGGGATATGTGATGCCACGTACGTATTTGGCTTTCAGTCCACATATGTACGACCAGCGGGAAATGAGAAATAGTGTGAACGAACCCTTTAACATATGTAGGTGGCATAGCACGATCATTATCCTCTTTTATTAATTCATCCTTTACTTTTATCATCGAGTGAACAATGTCTTTGTCCATTTGAGTTTGTTGTCGCCCTTCACTTGCGATTTTCCGTATGGTGCATGGTTGATTTCCGCATCCAGTTCTAATACACGATGCTTTTGAATTAGTTGAAAGACTATCTTTCAATTCTTGATAGATTTTAGACGGTTTATCATGTCCTTTATGAAACTTATTCGCCATTGTTTTCCTTTCTTCATTCTGGATGAATCTAGACTGGCGTTCGCCCGCTGCGTGTTTTACGGACCCGTTGTACAAAACCATGATTTTTTTTTCAGCGAAATCATCGCGTTTCATAGCCAGTTCAAACGTACACGAGCAATCTTGAAATATGCACTTGCCATAAGCAGAAAACACTATGACAGTATTTCGTTTTCTGGAATTTTCTTTCGCAATGTAATGTCGTTGGAATTGAAATGTACAAAAGTCATTTGATTCTTTCATGTATCTTGCCATAATATCAGTCCATGGTCGTCTTAATGTGTTTGGTTTTTCTGGAGTCGGTCGTATTTTATTCCATTCATCATCTGATATTCTAAAGACAGAGGTTTTTGGAAGGTTTTCCAAGAAGAAAGAATTTTGTTTCGGTAAATCAGGACAATCCATCAATCTACGTATCGTATCGAGTGGAACAGGCATTCGTTGTTTACTTTCACATTCGTCTGACTCGTGTTCAGATTGGGATGAATCGTATTCACTGTCACTTTTATGATGACGTTTGACTTTGATTATTTCGTGTTTAGAATGTCTTGTAGGCATTCCATCTTCTTGACAATAGGAATTTTCTTTGAAATCGTTTCTTTTCAACATTAATTCAGGGTCTTGGCCATCTACACTTACATTATTTTTGTATTGATGGAAATGGTATGTATCTTTGTCTTCCTTATCTGTTGAAGCATCGGACAACAATTCATTAACTTTTCCATCATCTTGTTTTTGGCCATATGGTTCATGTGAAAAAAGCTTCACTTCAGGATGGTTACTGTTTGCGTTTTCATTGTCAACCTCCTTTGGTTCCGTATTCAATTCGTGTTCTTCAATTGGCAGATTGTCCTCAGCTGCTATTTCAAAATCTTCCTCACTATTGCAATTTCCGTCAGTGTCCTGCTCTTCTGTGTCATATTGTTCGTTTGATATTCCATTGTCTGATTTATATCCTAGGTTGTCAAAAAAACTTCCTTTTTCATCCATAGATATCTCCCAGTTTAATTTGCATGCAGGTGAATCAGGAAAGTCTTTCTTATATTGATTTGAAGGTGAGGAATACTTCTTCATTTCCCCTTGTGATGGTATCACTATGCTGTCTACTATTTTATTCTTTCCTGATGTGATACTTGATTGATTGTAAGTGTCTGCCGCTGTGTACCAATTCATGCGCCCAAGTTTCTCAACGCAAAGGGGGCATATATAGGACATACCGTCCGAACAGTTACTATATTTTACAGCAACCTCTCTTGATTGTATCTCTTTTAAACCAGCACAAGCGGGGTGGTAGTATTCTAGACAGCCGTTTTGCTTGGAATCACAGACCAGATAAAATCCATTGTCTTCTGCCTGACACAAGCAGTATACTTTTTTCTTTCCATCATCAGGCGTAAACACTTTTGGAATGTGCCTCGTTCTTTTAGACGCTTTCTGTTGTGTTGGTTGGTGTACCTTCTTTGTCATTTTCTCCCCGTCAGTAATGCCAAAATCACTTTCTATATGTTGTTGTTTCTGTGATATAAAAAATGCCTTTGTGAATTTAACGGCATGCATATAAAAACTAAAATATACTTAATATATGGACCGATGGCGCAGGCGACAGTAGACAAACAACAACAATGGTTTGGTTTTCTTATTATTAAATTATACAAACACGAAATTTGCATAAAATATGTATATATATATATTCTGAAGCTATAAGATAAAGAATAGAAAGAAAATTACGACTATGTTTACAAATATAAATACAATACATTACGTTACAATTACACTGTTTTTAACTTACATTTGTCCAAACCAGTGATAAACTTTAAAACCATAAATCCTAACTTGACTTTTCCTGGTTCAAAACATTAATTTTTAGCGTTTCTTTAGACTACTTTTATACGTACTTTTAACGTTCAACATGGCTTCCTTTTCGCGCGCTTTTTCTCAGTTCATCGCGGGCGACAATAAATATTCTACGTACGTCATGTTATTTTAGTCAAATCAACGTAACATTCCCCCCGGCAATGGGAGAATTCCCATTTCTTCCTTCATTCGTCTTCGCAGCCTTCAACTGGGTATATAACCGCAATCTTGCTTATAGGACGTGAATAAGTACCTTTCGTTGTCTTCACCATCACATTTCTTACCAATCCATCTTGTCCCGGAAAGACTTGGACAATTCTTCCAGTTTCCCATTTACCTCGTAGTGCGTTTGGATCCGACAATACTACGCAGTCATTCACTTTAACGTTTCGCGATTCGGCATTCCACTTTTTTCTTGGAACCAGTTGTGGTAGTACGTCTCTCGACCACTTTTTCCAGAAGGCTTCGACAATTCGTTGACAAAATTCAAATCTATGACGTGGGTTTTCTGTGTGTCGGAATGGACCTTGAGGGATTGTACTGGTTGCTCTACCAAGTAGGATATCGTTAGGGCACAAGTAGGAACCATCGTCGGGGTCCGTTGGAATGCGACCGATGGGTCTTTGGTTAACTAAATTGGTAATCTCTAACAGACAGGTGTATAGCTCGAACGGTGCAAGAACTGCATCACCTATAGCTTTCTTGAGGGCTGTTTTGATAGTCTTAACCATAGCTTCCGTAGCACCATTCTGATGAGGAGCAAGAGGGGTAGTAAATTGCCATTTTATGCTGCGTTCTGCACAGAATTCTTTCAACTGCTTTACATTCCATCCTTTGATCATCAGGCGTAATTCGTTTTCAGCTCCTACCATTTGAGTGCCATTATCGGACAGGATGAACTTAGGATAACCACGATAAGAGAAGAATCGTCGTAATACTTGCATAAGTTCCATAGCACTAGCATCAACAGCAAGTTCACAGTGGATAGCTCGGGTATTGAGACAGGTGAATACAACACCGTAATGTTTACATGTCTTGTTTCGACCGACTTTCACTTTCAATGGGCCGAAATAATCCAATGACGAGTAGAGGAATGGTGGCGTGTGTGGCTGTAGACGAAACTTTGGCAAATTCGCCATCAACTGCGTTTCCACTTTCGCTTCGATTTCGCGGCAAACTGTGCAACGATTCTTGATGACCTTTGCAATTCTGTGGGCTTTGATGATCCAATACTTCTTTCTGGTTTTGGCGACCGTGGCTGCGACACCGTTATGACCAACTTGATGAGCATCACGTATGATGACCTTCGATATGTGACTATTATAGGGCAATAACACTGGTCGTTCATTGTCGTAGGAAACAAGTGACGGGTCTACGCGTCCTCCAACTCGAATTAACTTCTTGTTATCGACGTAAGGCGAGAGTGTTTTGAAATCTCCTTTCTTCATTCTTTGAAAGAGGCTTGACTGCGCTTGTTTGAGCCAGTATTCTGCTGCGGTTTGGAGCTCTTCACCAGTTAAGGGTCCCAATTCCGGTTGAGTGTTCTCGTCGTTACGCTTCGCACGTACATTACGGCAGAATCTCTGGATATAGGCAGTAACTCTAACAATTCGCTTCGACTTGGCATAG